GGGCCAAGGCGTGATAGAGGTCCGGTTGTACTTACGTAGCATGGATACACAAAACACTTTATGGATCCTGGATAGTTATAGAGGCAGTGCCAGTCTGTAGGTGGTGGTGTCAATTCTGTCTAAAATTTCAAATGGCCCAATAAATTGGGGATTTAGTTTTTTTTCACTTGCTAAACCTACTGATTCCCTTGAAAGGAGTGACCTTAAGTAACACTCGATTACCTTTCTCAAATTTCAAATTTTTCTTTCAAGTATCCGCATAACTCGTTTGCCTGCTCTGAGCCGTCTAGATGTTCTTCATGATCTTAACTATTTTGGTTGTAGTCTCATCTATAAGATCTGGACCGAATAATTTTCTATCACCCACTTCTTCCCAACAGATCACCAAGTTTCATGGACGGCCATACAACGCCTCGTACGAAGCCATGCCAATACTTGTTTGGTAGCTGTTATTATAGGCGAACTATATTAGGGATAAATGGTCATCTCAATGGCCTCGCAGTCAAGACACAAGCTCAGAGCATATCCTCTAGTGTGCGGATCATCATTTCTAATTATCCATTAGTTTGAGGGTGGAATGCAGTACTAAAGGACAGTTTCGTTTCATGACTTGCTGAAAACTAGACCAGAACCAAGAAGTGAACTTAGGATCCCAGTCGAACAATATTGTCATTGCCACTCCATATAATCTGAATATCTTCCATATATACATTTTTACTAACTTGTCCAAGGGGTTGGTCATCTTGATGGCCAAGAAGTGGGAAGACTTGATGAGTCGGTCAACAATTATCCAAATGACATCATGTCTCGAGCGTGCCCTAGGCAATCATGTCACAAAATCTATTGTGATATGTTCCCATTTCCACTCTAGAATTGGTAATGGCTGAAGTAGCCTGCCTAAACGTTGATTCTCCGCCTTAACTTGCTGGCATACCAAACACTTAGAAATAAAGTCAGCTACATATTTTTTCATCTTATTCCACCAAAATTGGGGTCGCATACTTTGATACATCTTAGTGCTTTTGGGATTCATGATAAAATTTGAGCTATGATCTCGATCATGATGTCTCTTTTCAACTCACTGTCACATGGAACACACACCCTGTCCTGAAATCTAAGCAACCCATCGGCAGAGACTCGAAATTCTAAATTTACTCCCTGTTCTGTATCTTTCTTGAG